ATATATATATATATGGATTTATAGAAAAACAGAATTTATGAATTATTAAAATTAATTTAAATTTAAATAATCTAAAAATAAAACTAAAAATATCAAATATTGGAATTTTTTTTTGAAAAAGTACTACAAATCTAATATTTACTATTACTTTAACTTTTTATCATTTTTAAAAATTTAAATTTTGATAGTAGTTAATCTTAATTGCGTTATACTCTTCCTTCAAAAAATGCTCCTGAATTATAGGGACACATTAAAAGAATAACTGAATTATTTATATCTATACGGTAAAAAAAAAAAAGCTCCTAAATCATAGTAGGAGCATAACGTTTGAAGGATAAAAAGTTATGCAAACGACATAATGTTTAAATATTATTATAATTAGTAATGATAATGATAAATTTTAGAAGAAAAAAACTTTAAAGATGGATTTTTTCCTCAGAAATGATAGTCTAATACCAAGGCACTTGGTAATTTTAGAACAAGGCAAAAATAAAAGAAATATTTTTAAATAAATTTAAAATTAAAATACGTTTAAAAATGTCATGACAAAAAATAAAGAATTAGAAAGCTTTAATAAATGGATAGCTAAAATACATAGGATATCTTTTTTTTAAAATATAGATAAATACCGAAAGAGAAAATAATAACTAACCTAAATCATCCCTTAAATTTCTCACCCATTCACCTAATTATTCAAATCTCTCAATAATACTCAACTATATATTTTAATCGTCTACCTACTGGAAAGACGAGTATCAATGTATCAGCATCACAATAAATTCAAATTTTGAGTTTTAAAAAAATAAATTTAATTATTTCAAATCTATTCATTTTTTTAAAATAATAACTTTAGAATATTATACATCCGTATTTTGCAAAATAGTGGCAATTGGCATCATCAAAATATTTTCGAATTTTCAATTTAAATTTCTTTTTTAAAAAATCTCTAAAAAATATAATTTTATAAATAATTATGTAAAAGTCTGTCAAATAAAAGTGTCAAAAACAAAAACTTATAATTATATATTATTAATAATTTGCAGATTTTCTTAGAAAAATAGATTTATTAATTAAAAAAATACTAAAAAAATACATCAAATGTTTTTTTTTATAAAAATTATATTGATAAATAATTTTATAATTAAAATTTATTTTTAAAATAATTTTTAAATTAAAAGATATTAAACAAAAATAACGTTGTGGACACAATTCTAATCATTTAGAACACAGTTTATTTAATCAAAATGACAAAAACTAAAAATATATTTCAAATTTTATCTTAACCTTTTAAATAGAAAAATAGAACATTCCTAAAAAAATGGAGCAATTTTAAGTTTGATTTACCTTATTTAAATCATAGAAGAAGATTTAAAAATTACTACTATTCTCAGTCTTACATTTTATACTGTCTTCACGGATAATTAAATTTTTACTCATAAAATCTTCTATCTCAGTTTTTTTTATTTATAAAACATGCATTATTTTTATTTTTTTAGTGTCTACATTTTTCATATTCCTTGATACTAACTATGCATCGCACAAATATATATGAGGAGGTTGAACACTGCATTTACCATATCAAAACAAGTGAATAATGAAATATAAAAATACGAATAATTTAACAATATAATTTATAAAATAATTTTAGTTTAAAAATTATGATATTAAAAAATTATCTGCGCAACGCGCGAGCGTGAATACTAGTTATTAAATTATGAGCATAGTTTCAAATTATAAAATTATGTTGATAATGCTTATTGGTTTAGCAGAAATTTTATGCCTCCAATTATAACTAAACCAATGATTACGAGAACAAATCACTCAAAAAAAAATTGGTATGAGATGAGTATATTCAACATGTAGCAACACTTCTACACATCAAGCCAACAAGGGTCCCCTATCAAATTGGTTCAGGGTCGGAAACTAAATAATTTTCATCTAAAACGTTGAATCTGTGGTTATGATTTAATTTCTCCACCACACAAATATGAATTCCCAAATCATGTTGGGATGAATGTTAAATTTTCTAATATCGGGGGGAGAAATGATTAATACCTGAAAATTATATAAGAGGTGAATTATGAATTATCTAGATCCTCGTTAAAAATGTGAACTTGAAGTTCAAGGGATAATTCATTTTCATAATGTTGCAAATCTATTGCCAGATGAATTTACTGACCTTATGCTATATGTCACTCCCTGAATCTACACCCTGGACATGGACGACACTCGAGAACCATTGCTGGTCCCAAGCAAACCCTTGGCTTGGCTCAATACTCAGTGGAAGACTTACTCAATAATATATGATCTCAATGCAAAGATTGACTCAAAAGTCTCAAGATAAATAACTTAGAATATTTAAAGTATTCAACTAACCATGAAATGTCAACTCAAGTCTCAAACATTAACAAAGAAAAATGGAAAAGACTCCTCAAAATACTACTGTCTATGAAGCCTCTAATAACTCTGATGGATGTCGGGACGAGATCCACGATACCCTAACAAAACAAAACTGAAAGGTAAATGGTAATCCTCCGAAAGCAAGGAGGCTTACCAAAGCAAATCTAGACTGCAAGTGGTATCAACAGAGCGCCTGTTGATTACCCAAAATACCTGTATCTGCATCATGAAAAGATTCAGGCCAAATGACGTCAGTACATTGAATGCACTAGCATGTAAAGGGAACACTAAACATAACATAAAAGCTTGAACTTGGAAAGAAAGAAAGATACTCACCTCATATCAACTCAACTCAACCTCAACTCATGGATACTCAACTCAATAATACCCAAATCAATTCAAGAATACTGAACTCAATAATACTCAACTCATTATAAAGCAACAATAAAAGATTGCAATATAAATAAAGCTTTTAAAACACTAGATAACAATTAAATGTATTTAAAAATACAATAATAACTCTTTACTCTTATTTGAGAGATTCTCTAACCGACGACCATCACTATGAGCTATGTGATGATATAACGTCTCGTCCACGTTGCCAGAACTATCATATACCTTGCCGGAGTATAAGACATCCTCAATTAAGTGGATCCATTAAGATCTGCCTGAAGGAACTTAGGATTCATCTAAAGAGTATGATCTTGTACCCATGTTGGCATACATAGTTTATGAGGACTTTGAGTTATTTGAACTCGTCCCCATATCTATGCTCAATACTACTCCCAATAATATAACGCATGATCATATGTTTAAAAATATTTCCTCATCCTCAACTTTGAGATTATTACTCAAAAGATTCACTTAAAAGAGATAGTGTTCAAAACTCCTCATGAACTCATTTGGAAATCAAGGTTTACCCATCATTTTAAATGTAAAAATATTTACTCTTGGGAATACTTAGTTCCATTATATTCATTTGGAAAAATGAAACTCAACTCTCTCCTCATCCTCAAGTACTCAAGTATTAAAACAAGTTTTAAAAGGTTGCAAAATACTTCTAAAAATGACTCAAAGGACTCCCTCGAACTTTACTCTCAACTCTATCTTGAATTTGAAATGTGAATTCAAGAATTATGATTAGGGTATGATCTCTCAATGATTAAATGAAGTTTAGATAGTTGATAATAAGAAATGAGTGAAAACACAAACGGGAGGACACTGGTGCGGCGCAGATGGTGATTTAAATTTTTGGTCGCGAAATAATTTTTGATGTAGAGGACTCCGTTTCCTCACCGCGAGTGGAGAAGGGGTAGTTATCTGGGACTGGAAATCTTAAGCTCCTCCGCGACACGGACCTGGGCATGAATATTTTCCCGATCTTTTCTTCCTCTCCCAAACTCGATTCGACTCATACCCACTTCAGTTCTATGGTCCAAATTCACAAAATTTCACAACCCCAGAACCGTTCAATATCTAATAATATAATGCAGATAAACGTCTTCCAGATATCCTTAGTTGCTGGAAAATAAAAATATTGCTCTCGATTTTTGTTTTTTCTGTCTCCGAACATAGTTGCAATGTTCATTACGAACCTCGCTTTGCTAAGAATTTGAATGAAATAATGATACTCATATTCTCAATTCTTTGGTATAAGAAGCACAAAACTTTTCCTGCATCCACAGAAAAAATGTTAGTTTAAAGTGAACTGATCTGTGTCGATTCCTTCGATTGTCTGCTCCTTGTCTTGCTATCTCCGGTTGATTTCCACGATCTCCCGCTTCTTGATAGATAAGACAAGGCATTTTTATGCAAAATAATTGAAGCATGAAAGAAGGTTTTTAAGTAAAATAAATTTTCAAAATATAATATTTGGAAAAGGTCACTGCCAAGTGTCATGTCACGTCAAGCTTAGTGAATGTCTTTGAAGTTGATGCCTCGAGGTCTTCCCGATTAGTTGATGGGAAGTATTCAAAGTTGTTCTAAACTTCCGATGAACCTTACCGAAATTTTTGAGGTCGTTCTCAAAAATTTCTGTCCCAGTTAACTGTCTTGGTGTATCTTGAACTGTTGGTGAACAAATCATGGAATTTTTGAGATTTTCTCAAAAATTCTGTCCAGTTGCAAATCTCAAAGTAACTTCAGTCTTGGTTTGTTGAAAGATCTTCTTCTTGAGAATTTTTTAGTCCCTCTCAAAAATTCTGTCCCAGCTTCTATTATGAAGAAAAATAGAAATCTTATGGGAGATATGACCGAGCCCATGTGGCGTCTACGTATCCTGTTGAGGCAGAAATCAGGTCAAACGTAGTTCCCCCTCAAAGAGTAACAGAAGAAAGAAAATTACACAGAAACCGACCGAGGCCGACATAGGCCGCCTACGTATCTCATTCTCAAGAATTCAGGTCGAACGTAGTTCAAATCAAGGAAAAATATTAAAAGGGGATAAGGGGTGACCGAGGCCGACATAGGCCGCCTACGTATCTCATTCTTGAGAATTCAGGTCAGACGTAGTTCATTACACGGAGGATCATATTCTAAACAAAACGATTACAAGCAAATAGAACGATTACAAGGAAATGACAGAAATATAAACTAAACCTTCACACATAGTATCTTTTGACAACATCTGAGTTGATCGGTTTTGGCCATTTGGTGTCGTCCATCTCCGACAGGACCAAGGCACCTCCAGATAACACTTTGCGAACCAACTGACCAATTTCTAATATCCTGGCTCTTACTTTCTTGTGTAAAGTACGTATCATCCTCTGTCGATACAATTGACCATGACAAACCGCAACCTTTCTCTTCTCATCAATCAATGTTAACTGATCAATCCGCTTGCGAACCAAATCAACATCACTTAATTCAGCTTCTTGGATGATTCTCAATGAAGGTATCTCAACTTCGGCGGGTATAATTGCTTATGTTCCATATACTAGCAAATATGGAGTAGCTCCAACTGATGTTCTGACATTCGTTCGATAGCCTCACAAAGCATATGGCAACATCTCATGCCAACCTCGATAATTGTCAATCATTTTCCTCAAAATCTTCTTGATGTTCTTGTTGGCGGCTTCTACAGCTCCATTCATTTGGGGACGATAAGCGGTCGAATTTCGGTGAGTAATCTTGAATTGTTCACATATCTCTCTCATCAAGTGACTGTTGAGATTCACTCAATTATCAGTAATGATGGATTTTGGTACACCAAATCTACTTATCAAATTGTTGCGAACAAAATCAGCTACAACTTTCTTGGTTACCGATTTGTACGAAGCTGCTTCCACCCACTTGGTGAAGTAGTCAATGGCAACCAAAATGAATTTGTGTCTGTTAGAGGCGGCTAGCTCTATTGGACCAATAACATACATGCCCCAAGCTACAAAAGACAAGGTGAACTCATAGCATTAAGTTCATGAGGTGGCACTCGAATCAAATCACCATGCGCTTGACATTTATGACATTTTTGCACAAACTTGCAACAATCGTGCTACATAGTCATCCAAAAATAGCTGGCTCGAAGGATCTTCCTCGCCAAAGTGAGCCCATTCATGTGAGTACCACAAACTCCAGCATATATCTGTTCCAGAAACTTCGCAGCTTTACTAGCATCAACGCATCTGAGAAGACCTAAATCTGGAGTCCTCCTATAAAGGATTTCCCCACTTGCAAAGAAATTGAGGACCATACGGCGTATCGACTTCTTATGGTTGAACGTTGCATTCTTGGGATAAGTCCCGGTCTCTAAATACCTCTTTATGTCAAGGTACCAAGGCAAACCATCTGGCTCTACTTCAACATGTGAACAATGAACAGGCTGCTCTTTTACCTCTATATCCAAAGGATAAATGTAACTTGTATCTGGATGTTTAATCATTGAGGCAATGGTGGCAAGGGCATCAGCCAACTCATTTTGTGTCCTGGGAGTGTGTCTCAACTCAATCTTCCGAAATCTTTTGCACAACTTCTATATATACTGCACGTATGGTGTGATCTTTGGGTTCTTCACGGCCCATTCTCCTTGAACTTGATGAATCAGCAAGTCTGAGTCTCTAATAACTAGAAGCTTATGAATATTCATGTCAATGGCCATCTTCAAACCGAGGATACAAGCTTCGTACTCCGCCATATTGTTGGTGCAATCAAATCGGAGTTTAGCCACCATAGGATAATACTGACCAGATTTCGATACTAAGACCACTCCGATACCTTTCCCTTGATGATTCGCCGCTCCATCAAAGAATACTCTCCAACGAGGGTATGCTTCAGAAATATCCTCACCCACAATTGCTACTTTTTCATCGGGAAAATAGGTCTTGAGCGGTTCATACTCCTCATCAACTGGATTCACCGCAAGATGATCGGCTAAGGCTTGTGCTTTTATCGCCTTCTAGGTCACATACACAATATCAAACTCACTCAAAAACATTTGCCATTTAGCCAACTTCCCGGTCGGCATTGCTTTCTGGAAAATATACTTCAACGGGTCCATCCTGGAAATAAGGTATGTGGTATAAGAAGACAAATAATGTCTCAACTTCTAAGCAATCCAAGTCAAAGCACAACATGTACTCTCCAAAAGAGGGTAACGAGCTTCATATGGGGTGAATTTCTTGCTCAAGTAATAAATGGCTCGCTCCTTCTTCCCAGTTTCGTCATGTTGACCAAGCATGCATCCAAATGCGTTATCCGAGACAAATAGATACAACAACAAAGGACTCCCTTCTCGCGGAGGAACTAACACCGGCGAATTGGACAAATAATTCTTGATGGCATCAAAAGCAGTTTGACATTCTCCGATCCACTTGGTCAGGGCATCCTTTTTCAACAGCTTGAAGATGGGTTCACACACCACGGTGGATTGAGTTATGAACCGGCTGATGTAGTTCAACCTTCCCAGAAAACTCATCACCTCTTTCTTGGTCTTCGGAGGAGGTAACTCTTAAATCGCTATGATTTTGGAAGGGTCAAGCTCAATGCCCCTTTTACTAACTATGAATCCCAACAACTTGCCAACTGGCACCCCAAAAGCGCATTTGGCAGGATTTAACTTCAAATTGTATCGACGCAAACGATCAAAGAATTTCCTCAAGTGAGTCAAATGATCCGAACTCTCACGGGATTTGATTATGACATCATCTACATACACCTCGATCTCCTTGTGAATCATATCATGAAAGATGGTCGTCATAGTCCTCATGTAAGTAGCACCGGCATTTTTGAGACCAAACAACAATAATGATATATACCCCAAGGCGTAATGAAAGCTGTCTTTTCTGCATCTTCCTCATCCATCGGGATCTGGTGGTACCCCGCATAACAATCCACAAATGACTGCATCTCATGCTTAGCACAATTATCATTGAGAATGTGGATGTTTGGTAATGGAAAATTATCTTTAGGGCTTGTTTTGTTGAGATCTCTGTAGTCAACGCAAATTCTGATCTTTCCGTCTTTTTTGGCAACTGGAACAACGTTGGCTAACCAAGTCGTATATTGCGTCACTTCCACTACTTGAGACTCGATCTATTCGGTAATCTACTCTTTGATCTCTAAACTCAACTCGGGCTTGAACTTCTGAGTTTTTTGTTTTGTTGGACTGAATTCTAGAGTAATCGGCAACTTGTGGGACACCATATTCATACTTAGCCCTGGCATTTCTCTATAAGACCAGGAAAATACATCAATGTATTCTCTAAGAAAATGAACCAGGTCCCATCTTTGAGCCTCGGTCAGATGGACACTGTTTCTGACTTCTTTGATACATTTCTCATCTTCGAGATTCACAGTTTCAGTTTCTTCAAGATTTGGCTTGTGCTGGTTCTCAAATTGTCGGAACTCCTCAACAACATGTTCAGGTACCTCATTTTCCTCTTCATATTCCCCGCATTCATCATCATCAGCCTCATTTTGTACATTCGGCTCGTGACATGACATGACATTGGCAGTTTTTAAATTATTATCACTGAAATCATAAACAAACTAAGTTAGGAAAGTAAACATATAAACATATAAGTAACAAATTTTCGATAAACGAAGCTTTCATTTAAATTGAAAGACAAACACAAACTTTGGCCATGGCAAAGGGCCATTTCGCCTTTTTAAACTTCACGGGGGAATTAAAAAACTTAAACCAGTAAAAATTGCATAAAGGGTGGGTCTCGAGCCTTTTTCGGACTACCACCGGTTTTAAAAACAAACATAAATACATGTCTTTTCTACCAAGCTGAACGGGAAATCAAGAGCGGTGTGGAGGTCCAATTTTGCAATTGCTCCTCAGGTTTTGCATCACAGATGCCCGATGTCCCAGCCACTTCCTCGATGACCGCATCAATCTCTTCGAACATGCCCCAGATTCCTCCCCCAGACTGATGTCGATGGCATACTCCCGTACCGGGAGTGACTGGTACAAGTGAGGCATTGGTCTGGCAAGCATCCGATCAACACTCTTATTCATCACCTCCACTTCATCAGCATCTGTGGGGACATACCCCAAATTTTTTTTGCTCCTTTGGCGGGAATTCGGATAGGCTCGACAATTCCTTGAAAATGTTTCCCCAATCCGAAACCTGGTTCGAAAGCACTTCGGAGCATAACCGTAGCAATCATCTTGTACACGGCAGGCATGGGAGGTTGCGGAGTCAAATCATCACCGGTGGCATTTACCAGCTCCATCGTGTAGAAATAGCAACCTCGGGAAATCTCATCAACGATCGGTGCATACCCATCGAAATGGTTCCCCTCACCATGAATGACCAATTCCTGGTCCTTCAAAACAAATTTTATTAGTTGGTGAAGGGTAGACGGCACAACCCCAGCCATATGGATAAATGGTCTTCCTAGAAATAGGTTGTAACTGGTGTTGATATCCAACACCTGGAACTGCACGTTAAACTCTGCAGGACCCATCTGAATTCCCAAGTTTACTGCCCCTATCATGTCTCTCTGCACTCCATCAAAAGCTCTCACATTGACCTGGTTTTGTTGAACCTTTCCCAAGTTGAATTTCAGTTGCCTGAGAGTCGAAAGTGGGAAAATGTTGATACCGGACCCATCATCAATCAAAACACGATTTATAATTTTGTCTCGGCATTTGATGGTGACGTGTAGAGCTTTGTTGTGCATCCTGCCTTCAAAGGGCAATCCTTCGTCACAAAAACTGATTTAGTGTCCTCGAATGACCTAGTTTATCATGGCTGCTAGATTGTCACTGTTAGTACCCACAGGTACGTAAGTATCATCCAAAGCCCTCATCAAAGCCTGCCTATGCATTTGCGAAATCATCAACAAGGCCCATATATAAATCTGAGCCGGCGTCTTCTCCAAATGCTTCACAATCGAATAATCTTTCGACTGCATTTTTCTCCAGAACTCCTCGGCCCTGACTTCGCTGATCGGCCTTTTTGTTTGGTCCTTCTTCTTCCCTCCTTGAGCCAATTCTTCCGGTGTATAACATCTACTGGATCTGGTCATGCCTTGAGTGGCAGCCGTTTCAATCACAAGCTTTGGTCGGGCAAGAATTTCTCTTGGCACCAAGGAAACAACCTTCTCGGGTGTCAGAATCACAAACACTTTCTTCTCTCCAATGCTCAATGAGGCTACGACCCTTTCCAGCTCATCAGGAGCGATCAGAACTATTGCCTTTGTCACACACCAATCATCATCTGTCTCTATCATATTGATAGTAACGCCTCCATGATTTGGCAAAGGATTACTATTAACATTAGGCGAGACTGCCTGGAGATAAACCACGTTTTGGTTAATCAGGTCTTGGATCTTATGCTTCAGGTTGATACAGTCCTCGGTATCATGTCCAACACCATTGGAGTGATATGCGCACCTCTGGTCATGTCTGTAAAACTTTGAGCTAGTGTCAACCAGCTTGGGCCCCACTGGATGAATATATCCTGCTGCAGTTAATCACTCGAATAGCTTTGTTCGGCTTTTGATGAGCGGAGTGAAATTTCTAGCAGGCTTCTTCTCAAATCTAGGACGGGGGGGGGGGGGGGGATCGTAATTGCCTTGTTGAGGGGGGCATTTGGCAATAATTTGGAGCATTTGGACGGGGGCTAGATATCTAGGATATGAGTTG